GAGAGAGAGAGAGATTTCCTAGGTTGTTTACCTTGTGGTGTGTAGTATAATTTTCCATGGGTTTCTGCATGGATTTATGTTGAAGATTGATTTTTGAGTCAAAAATATGTGACTTTTTTACTATCTTGGGGGGATCATCTTAAAATTTTCCTTTACTTGTTTACATCCTTTTTTCTTTTTTTTTTTTTGTTCTTTTCTCTTTCTAGACTTTGATCTTTAGCTTGATGGAACTAACCTTCATTAACATTAAAAGATTGGCTTTTCCTGGACTTGGTTTTTGAGGAATATCTCATTCTAAATATTTCTGGCCACAAATTCAATGATAACCGTGACAAATAATAGAAACTGTTAAATCTGCCATCTCTTTTATGTTTTTTTCCTCTTTAAGCATAAAACTGTCATCCCTTTGATAAAACCCAAGATCTATATTTCACAAATGATCCAAAAGACTGATAAAACATGGTCAGTATTTTTTTTGACATTTTAATTGAGGAAATCACTGTTTCTAGTCTTTCTTTTCCTTTCTCCATGGGAAAATGGTGATCATATGAATCTGGTACATACCTAACAGAATCTCTGGTCAAACAGTGAAAACCCACCTGCTCTCCCATGTTGCTTGTTGAGAATAACAAGAGAATTGAAACCTTTTCTTTTCTATTTGTTTTTCCATGACTTGTGAGATAAGAAAACTGAGCATTCTTCTTTATAATTTCCTCTTTTTTTTTTTACTTTTATTAGGAAGAGTCAAACTAAGAAGGTGGTGTGCATTCCTGCACCTTCAGCTGCCACTAACAGGCAAAGTGGTGAGGTTGTTCCCTCAGACCTTTGGGCATGGAGAAAGTATGGACAAAAACCCATCAAAGGTTCCCCTTATCCAAGGTATTCTTCTCCGAAAGCCCATCATTTTTTTAAGTTATACTATTGAATGAGAAATCAGAAAAAAAGAAACCATCATTTTTTTTGGATGAATTATATATTTGAAACAAGAAATAAGTTAGATCATGCAAATAAGAAAAAACCATGATTTTGCTTTTCATCTAAAGTTTTTGGCTAAGATTATATAAACTTGATGATTTGCTTGGAGCTAAGATGAAATGATGAAATCAGTTCTTGTGGTCTTCATTTTCATCAAGTGGGTTGCTTTCATTCAAAATGTTATTGCCACATCAGTTGAAGCTTGAACAATAAATTAAAGAGGATTTCATGGAAGTAATATTGGAAGTTGTTGCCAACTACAATCACCTTTAGAATATGAAGAAAGAGTATCAAATTTTTTCATGCATCTATTATTGTATGGTAGTATCTCTCACATGAGTACAGGTCATTAATAGGTAGCATCCTAGGTTTATAAATGAACAGTTCCTCATTGTTTCATACATCACCATCTCTGATCTTGCATCAAATGCCTGAATGAATATGGATTGGCACTATTTCATTCAAAGAAAAAAAATATAGATTGGCAATAAAGGAATCTCTCTCTCTCTCTCTCAAAAGGTTATATTTCGTCAAAATGCCAAATCTCTTAGTAAGTCATAGTACTGATTAACAATGTGAACTTAGGCATATTAATTATCTCCTTCTTCTTGCTCTCTACCATTTCATTAGTTTCTAAGCTATAAGACTTGTATACAATTTTGTGGCATTAAGTTAATAGTAGCACTGCATATATTTCATATGGGCTTATTAAATTCTTTTGTGCTTAGATAAACAAATGTTGTGCTTAGATAAACCACATTTGTTTCCTCTATGTTAATTTTGTAGAGCTTTCAGCACCCCAAGCAAACCTAGTTCCCATTAAACACATCATCAACTAAAACCCAAAACCCTAAATTAATGATACAAACATCACATTTTTGCCATTGTATTTAGATCTTGGAGTGCTTTGTCCCTTAATCATACAACGTTATGGTACTAACTGCTAAATCAAACTTCGAATTCTAATAATAAAATTGTGCATAATTTTCAGGGGTTACTATAGATGCAGCAGCTCGAAAGGTTGCTCAGCTCGAAAGCAAGTAGAACGTAGTCGTAACGATCCCAACATGCTCGTTATCACCTACACATCTGAACACAACCATCCATGGCCAACACAGAGAAACGCTCTCGCTGGGTCAACAAGGTCCCAGCCAATGAAGGCAAATTCTTTGAAGAATTCCCCATCGACCCAACAAAACCCTAACCTTAATTCTGCACTCTCCATCAAGCAAGAGATTAAGGACACCGATAATTCCACCATCACCAATACAAGGAGTAGCGATAACTATACCAACAATGATGTTGATAGTAGTATATCCATTAAGGATGATATAATGGGCGCAGAGAGAGAAGTGATCATGGAGGATCGAGGCTTCAATCCAGGGTTTCCGGTTTATAGGCCGGTTCCAACTGACCAGAACCATTCAGATGATTTCTTTGCAGATTTGGGAGAGTTAGAGCCAGACCCTCTTAACCTCATGTTCAACCAAGGGTTCAATGAAGATAAGAGTGATGAAGATGGTGAGAACAAGGAAGTGGAGCCATTTAGCCTATTTGACTGGTCTGAAAACTCATTTGGAGATTCTAGGAGGGGTTTATAATAAGACCTTGGAGAGGCCAATGTCTTGGACGTTGGTGCAACTTCAAATTCAAGGTCTTGGTATAAACCCCATTCCCATCTCTTTGCAAGAGTTTGAATCAGAAGAAGAAGAAGAAGAAGAAGATGAAGAAGCATTGATTCTCTCTCTTTCTCTCTCTCTGTCTTCTTTCTCTATGTTTATGTCTTATCTATTTATTTATGTATCTTGTTTTTGTAAGTGTTGAATGAGTAAAGACTAAAGAGGCCTTCTAAGGGATGGGACAGAGAAGCTTGAGGAACATAAGCTCTCAACTGTTTGAGAAGTACAAATTTGAGATATGACTGAATAGCTTTATTGAAGAGGTGGATTGTCTTAACCTTTCTCCTTCTTTCCTTCACTTCTTTCTTATCTTCCACAGTGCACAATAATCATTACACATTCCCCTCCCATTGGCATTCAAAACCACATACTGTAGTCTCTTGGGTGGAGAAATAAAGAGACAAAGAAGAAAGCCAAAGGCAAAAAGAGGGGAAGACAAGAAATGAGTAAAAAAAAAGCCTGATACTCATGGATCCTTAGAATCCTAGAGATGAATGATATGATATGATGATGATGGTGAAGAGATTAGGGTTTTTTCTCTTTAGGGTTTTTGAGTCCTCTTCCATTACATAATGCCTCAAGCTCTTGAAACTTTTGAATATATAGTTGGATATTATCTCATCCTTATAAATTACTTAAGGGCTAGTTTGCACATGTAATTCATCATCTAATCTCTTCAATTACTCTTCAATCTTTGATTATATGCTTGTATTTATCGTATCTTTTTTAAAGGCTTAGCTTGTAAATGTAACTCGTCATCTTATATTTTTATTATTTATTATTGAAACTTTGATTATGCACATGGATATATATTATCTTTTTTTATTACTTTAGGGCTTAGTTTGTAGATGCAATTCATTGTATTTTGATTTAAACCATGGTTGTATAAATGTAGATAAGGACTTAGGTGTAAGTGTCACGTGAAGGGAGGAGATCTCGAAGTTAAAGGATCATATATTTTATTGAATTGTGGGTTAGTAGTTTATAAGAGTTTAATGCGGTTGTTTGTGTGATTTATGAGATCACATGTTCTTTAAAGTTTAATGTTGGTTGTTTGAGTGATTTATGGGATGGCATGTTGTTTTATAGAAGGTTTGGGAAATGGGTTTGTGGGGGTTGTTACAAGAGAGTGCGTGCCTTTGTGAGTGTGCAACCTAAACAAAGGTCAATTCACCAAAGCCATCGCCTAAGCCCTCTCTCCCTCTCTCTCTCTCTCTCTCTCTCTCTCTCAAAATACTCAATCACCCAATTCTCTCCCTCTCTCTCTTTCTCTCAAAATACTCAATCACCCAAATCTATCTTCCTCTCTCTCTCTCTCACACACATATTTTATTCTTATACAACTCAATCTCTCAAACCTCTCTCTCGCTCACTCGCTCATTTTTTATTCTCTTTTAAGCCTCACACAACTTATTCTCTCAAACCTCAATTACCCAAGAAAATTAATCTATAATTTCAAACAAGTACCCAACACATACACAAACACACACACTCTCCCTTTCTCTCTCTCCTCTAGGTAAATGGTTGTGGGGTTGGGCGCTTTGATGGTGTGGTGCCTTTGAGAAAATGTTAGGATAAATGTTTTAGTATTGGGTTATCCTCTCTTTTCTATGAAAGTTTTTTATAGCAATTTGCCTTGTGTTGTGTTGAGAAGGCACACAAGGAAAAAAAGAAAATAAGAAGCTAGTGGAAAATGGTCATGGATGGAACCCAAAAAACAGAATCAAGTTTCATAGAGCAACATATCTCTCTCTTCATATTTTTTTTTTTTTTTTGACTGAGTTTCAAAAGATCTTCAAAAAATCATGAATTTATGCAACTGATATAAACAAGTGTGTTATCTTTTTGTAAAAAAATACTTTCTAAAAATAAAAGTAAGAGATACGGTTCAATTGAAATTAGTCCGATCGAACTAGTTGGACTAATATTTCAAGAAACAAGGAACATGGAATAGCAATTAAAGAAAATATTACCTTATTGTGGTACGATCCCATGCTTTGTGGTGAATAAACATAGAGTGATCGTGTTTACTTTGAGTGAAGCCAGTTGCAAGAATAATAGCTCGAAAATAATCTAACTACGCACGAAGAGCTTGTTTGAGACCGTAAATTGCTTTACGAAATAGACAAACCAATGACTTCTATTGAGAAACAAATCCAAGTAGTTTACTGTCACGCCCCAAGATTTCTAACATTCCCGAGGTGCGACAGACTATTCTTATACTAGAAAAAAATCCAAATTCCTATTAATATATATATTGTAACAAAACAAATTTTTCTATTAATTAAAATTTGTACAAAGTTTGCTCACAACTAGCATTAACATGAAGGCTAGGTATGCATCTGTTGATAGAACAAAAATTTACAATGGTGAAATTAAACAAAAGTTACAAAGGATAATTTAATTATGACATGACTGCATCTCCCAAGAATTTACAATACTGATATTTCTAAGAGGTGATAGTCAAAACAAAGCAATTTTAGATATCTACCATGCATTGAATCAAAATCAAAACCCCCTTTTATTTTTATTTTTTTTTGAAATTTTAAGATTATTATATAAAATTCTGTTCATAACTAATATTAACATAACGGTCTAAACATATATACATCT